GTGAAGCGCAGAAATCCTTGCGATCTAAAAAGCCATAGAGATCTATGCTAAATAGAAACAGTTATCTTAACGGCCCAGCGGCGATACACGTCGATAGTCAGGCGGGCCTGAAGCAATAGGGTAAACACTACCATCTGGTGAAGCGCAGAAATCCTTGCGATCTAAAAAGCCATAGAGATCTATGCTAAATAGAAACAGTTATCTTAACGGCCCAGCGGCGATACACGTCGATAGTCAGGCGGGCCTGAAGCAATAAATGCATGGAAAAAGTTAGGTCTTCCATCTAGCTCTGTTGGATTCAACAACATTGGAACATATCAGGTAATGAAGCTGCAGATGAATTGACGAGTCAGTTGACATTGAGGTCGACAACTACTTGGTTAGACCACCCCTGTACCAACGCTCTCGAACGACAAGACTGGTTAGATGAAAGGAGTCAAAATGTCCCGAAGAAAAATTGGCCTACAGTCTCCAGGAAGAGAAAAGGGTCGCTCATCGTTCATCTTGCAAGTGGAGTGGGGATGAGATGGAAACTGAGACGGTCGAACATATACCCTGTCACTGTTCAACATTCATTAATGTGCCACAAAGACTTATGGGAGAGAAAATTATGTACGGTCTGTATTCACTCTCCAATACAGACCCAGCAGTAATTCTTGGGGTAATTCTACCCCAATAAGCACCGCTCCGATTTAGCTCCGATTTGGCCACTAAAAAATAATTCACACTTTTGCGGTCGATATAAATGCATTATCTGTCTGGCATGCTTTAAGACACTTTAACCCATCAAACATTGCCTGCCAGACAGAGCATCAAAGTGTGATGAGGTGTTTAAGACGTTGGGTCTAATCAATGATCAAAAAGAAATAATTAAACGTGTCAAATGTAGATAAGACCTTCCAAGTTATTTTCAACAGCAACAATTCTCCATAAATGTAGAAATGAAATATAAACCACACTTCAAAATAAAAGAAAATGATACTTGTAGCATATTTTTCAAAAACCTACACATTCATTCACATTTTCCAAAAAATGTCACTTGGAATACTTAAAAAGATATTTTTCAATTTATTTTTACTTTAAAAAATATTTTGTAGAGTATCATTTCTTTTGTTTTCTTGATTGACTAAATATTTCATTCAAAGTAACAAAAATAGCCACTTGAATGTTGTGTAATTTGAGTAGTCATTTATGTGTTTCAAAACAATGTGGACCACCAGTTTTTTCTTCTTCTTCTTCTTTTGCTTGGACAAGTGGAAAATCTGATATCCTTAAGTGTCCAATGTTATTTTGATCCTTGTCTTTAACAGTCGTCAAGGATCTTACAAAGAACTAGTCAGAAGAATCAATGATGGAGTGTAATGGGAGATTGAGTGTAACAAAGTTTTGAGAAAAATATGTCAAGGAATTGTGTTTAGTAAAATGCAAGAATATTAAATATTATATGCGATATATTCAAATAGTTTGAAAAGTTATATTGTTTCAACATGTCTGTAGGGTGTGTAAAACCAGAATTAGCTTTTAGGAGAAAACATTGTAGACTTTTGTATGTGAATGGGCGGTAAGGTAATTAATAAGTGTTTAAATATTTTTTAATTGCATCGGTCTTACATCGTGCGCTAAACATTGTAAGTTGCTAATATTTTAAATATGTAAAAATACTTCCAGAAATTCCTACTTAAAATGTATAGGTGCGAATTAATGTCCAATTTGTATTGAGCAAACCGAAAAAGATGAAGGTAGAATTTTTGTATGTGGCGTTGAATGTGATTATGTGGTTAAAAACATTATGTACTGTAGATGTACAGAAATAAGTAAAATGTACAAAATATGGTACGGTTTTTATCTGAATACAGCTTCAACTGTAGGTATTTATAATGTTTTTTAAGACCAAATGACTGATATTTTTTTTTTCAATTTTTAAGAATATTTAAAAATGAACAAAATAAACAATTTCAATATTTTTTTTTTTTTTTTGACCTCACGTTTATAAAAATAATCATGTTTCAAAGACTTTCAGGCTACATTATGAATTAAAAAAATCTGAAGCACTCGCAAAATATTTTTATAAGGCCATAAATATCTGCTATTTTGATCGAAAATCGTGTATTTTAATGAATAACAAAGTCTTCTGGTCAAACCTTTAAATTATGGATTAGAAATATTTTTGCCAAGTTTTCCTAGGCAGAGTTCTTGGTCTAAAAAAGTGGGGAATTTTCATTTATTTCTTTTCAAGGGCCTTCCGTCTAAGTTTTTTTTAAGATTGGCCCATTCCTGGCGAAGCGATTGATTCAGGTGAACGACACTTTGGTATCAACCTTAATTTACACAATACTCCAGACACAATAGTCCAACGGATTGGTATCCGGAGATTTTGGTGGCCATTGTGCGCTGGAAATAAAGCGAGGAACCTAATTTTGTAAGCGTTCTTGGGTGGCGTTATGAGTGTCCTGTTGTCCAAAGTCAGCGGCCAAAATTTTTGCGTGCCCAAGCCTTAATACATCCTCCATAATATTTTCGAGATAATATTCGGAATTTATTCTGATGCCACGGTCGATTAATACGAGCGGAGAGCGACCATCGGCTGTTATGACAGTCTTTACCATCACCATAGCCGTCGCTTGAGTTCTGGTGGCCAACCGAATGTGCACATTTTAAGCTAACCTCTTTGGCAAGTAAACACGATCATTTAGTTTGTTTATAAACTGCTGGACAAAGACAAATGGACTTTCGACCGAGCGAAGCAACTCTTTAGCTCTTTTGAGTCCATTTTTTTCTGTTGCGGTGTAAGTTCTTGCACGTTTTGCAATTTCAATGGCTTTACCTCGAGCTCATTTTTCAATATTTGCCGAATGGAATATTGCGATAAGTTCAGCTCACGAGCCATTTTTCGGCCACAGCGACGAGGGTTTCTATCAAGTCGCTTCTTTACCATTTCGAACCATTTCTGCGAGCACGTCCACTTCCCTGACGAAAGAAAAATCATGGGCTATCAGGTCTTCACGGCTACACACAAATGGTGGATTTTTTATTTTTCAAGGTCTCTCCAGCTAAATATTGATCGTGGATTTTTTAGAATATGTTTTATATCGACTGTGCTATCCTCGTGGCTTTTTAAAAATATTTTTCATGGTCGTCCTAACCTGATAATTAATAATTTTTTTAAGAATTTTCTAACGGAAAATCATGGCTTTATTTGAATATTTTTCAGATGATTTTTTTTAAATAACTTGTGAATTAAAAAATCATAATCCTCCGGAAAGAAAACCCTTGAATTTTTAAGATTTTTTATCGAGGACCTTCTAACGGAAGGTAGACAACTTTTCAGGAATATATTTAAAATATAATAAGATAATATTTAAAATATTTTTTTAAGGATCTGCTACCTAATAACCGTGGATATAAAACTGTGGAACTACCAGAAATAAATTTCATGGCTCAAATTGAATGATTTATTTATATTTTTCTATGTATCACTACCTTGTATGAAAATGTAAACCTTATTTTCTAGTCACATATTACTTATTACAATTATATGTATACAGATCTGGGCGAACCAACTGATACTTTCTAACTTTTCCAACAGACATTTATAATTTTTTTCTGTTTTCCCACTGTTTCAGGACGATTTTGGATGTTACAGAATTTGATTTATTAGATTTATTTTATTCTCACCACAATTTAATTTGAATTCTATATTTTTGAGTTTTTTAGATCACTTCCCAAGCGTTTTGTACAATATGGCTTGTGGAAGAATAAATTAAGGCGGTTACAATTTAAACAATAGCCAATGGAACTTGCACCATATACCTTATTAACCCATCTGGACCCCAACAGCTTCTCTATTTCTTCCTTACTTATTCTTTAGGAATTCAATTGCCACATTTGAATACACCGCTGGATTCAAACCCAATCTCTTCATTATGCTGATGATTTTTTCCCAACAACACCACAAACAAAAACCAAAAACGCCACCAACTCAATTATTTCAATCTAAGCCATATGTTTCACAAATCAATTATGGACCGCTGACAACAGAAATTCCCTTTAGAAAGTGGTGTGCGACAGTTGGTACCGCTTAAACAATTTCGTGATGCTTTTTAATTGCATTTTTAGCTGTGGTCCGCAATATTAACATTTTATTTAAATTTTCATGCAAATTGGCGAGGGGTGGGGGGCAATGGAAGACAACCGAAATTAAATCGGGCGCAAATAGTATCAACAAATTGTGCAAAGTTGAGAAAAAAAAGACAGAAAAATAAAACAGCTGTTGTTGAGCAAAAAGATAATCTTGTAATAAAATAAACTCTAACTTGACCCAATGATAGTAGATGCCGGCCCGTCAGACTGTCAGTTGGGCTTACAGATTTTTTTATACATTTTCAATGAAATCAAGAGAATAGCATGGAATAGAGGGAAAACTCGAAATAAGAAGGCCAGCATAGTGGGCAACAGTATTATGCGACATGTGTTTGTTGTTGTGCCGGCAGAGCAATGAACAGTCAATCCACCAAATAAACATTACTACTGCAAGCAATATTTGGTAGAATTGAACATAATTCTGTGTGATTTGAAATTTCTCTTAGACGAATTTGTGTGGCTGCAAATGTTGGGATTTTTTCTCTTTCAATTAAGAGAGAAAATTTGACAATTTGTATATCTGCATCCATAAGATACATTTTATGTTTTATTGCCTCAAAACCGTTACATTGTATCTTTAGAGATTAAGAGAGAGAATTCATGTTTTCTCTTAGCAAAGAGAACAACAAAATCTTTTGATATATCCATAAGATACTCCATGTAACATGCAGACCGTTATATTGTATCTGTAACATTTTTACAGATTTCTTGTGAACTCTTTGTTGCACGCTCTCTCTCTCTCAATCTCACTTTGCAGAGATTATAATGTTGTTTTGGTGTTGTTGTTGTTCTAGTGTATGGTGTTTGTGACTGCATGTGGTAGGTATTTTGTGTTTTACTTGTACAGAGTATCTGAGTATCTTGTGGGGTGCACATGAAACAGACAAGAGCTGAACACCCAACTAACCTGCCAACCGAACACACAAAGCAAGCCTGAAGAGCCCATGGTTTGGGAATGAGCATTCATAACGTTTCGAACTGTCGAACTGAACTCACTGTGTTAGGCACCGAACAAATAAAAAGAACAAAAACAAAAAGCCGTCGTGTGTTCGCTCTGGAAGAAAGAAAAAAATCATCGCGCACATTTTGAACAGCCAAGAAACATAACAAACGAGTTTTAAATTATTTATGTTTTATGAAAATTATTTAAAAAAATACAACAACAATAAAAGATTTGTGTTACAAAAAATCATTGATGATACAAAAGAAAACTAAAAATAATCATGAATATTTAATTTGTTTATAAACCCCCAAAAAAACCAATGTGGATTTGATTTGGATTAACAAACTACAGAGATATTGAATGGAATCAACAACAAAAAAATTGAAAATAAAAAACCCATAAAATAAGGGAATATTAAGTTTTCAAAACAATGTTTAAAAAAATAATTAAGAAGAATTTATTTCTGTTCTAAATTATAAATATATAAAATTGGTGAAAAAAAATATTTTTTTGAAGTGAAACAAAAATTGCATTTAAAAACGGCTTGAAAAAAAACCAAACCCTGCCGAAAAAAAATCGCAAGTGACAAGTTATGAAAACACTTGAAAAACCAGTTAAATAACCCGAAAAAATATTACCCCACATCTGCAAAAGAGCAAAAGTATTACCAAATAACAAACAACAACAGCAACAACAAAAAGAGCTACAACATTTAAGCCTTCTATTCCATTGCAAAGCATTGGTGTGGGTGTGTATGTGTATTGAAATAGCACAGTGCCTGTGTTTTTATGTCTGTGCGAGTGTGTGTGTTTTTGCCAATCATCTGTTTTGCCATTGTGTGTTGAAAGGATTTATTTATCATTCTAACGGATATTTGGCATCTATCATCAAGCTACTGTTGGAATAGAAAGGGGGCAAAAGTCATTTGACATATTGTATGTCATCAGCAGCAGCAGCATCACTTTGTCGCCCGTTTCCCCATCGTCATCTACGCTAATACAACGACAACAACAACAACATTTGAATCAATGCAAAATGTTGCAAATTTTTGGATAACAATTCTTTAATAAAACATATATATAAATGTAAGTATATATCTCATGGTAGATTTTTTTTTTACTTTTTTTTTTGAAGATCCATGTTGACAACTTAAGTAAATGGGTTAACATTTTTAAATTCAATAAAGAAAAAATGTCAAATGTTACACATGTATTCCCATGACAAAGGGAGAACATGAAATATGCCAATGGGCTGGTTAACAAGGGTAATTTCTCTATTTGGAACGGCAACGATTTGTTAGAAATTAGTCAGGAAAATTTTGAAATATATATGAAAATATTTTTTAATATTTCTAAAATTGAAATAAATGTATGATAATTTATTATCCAATGTTCACATTAGATTCTATAAAGATGTAAGTTTTGCTTCTTAAAATTCAAAATTTGACAAATAACAAAAATTAATAGAAAACAAATAAATAAAATTGCTTTATTTAAAAAAATTCAAAATAAAATCTAAAAAAGGACTACTATTTAGAAAAAAATCGCTGATTTTAAGTTTTAAAATTCAATAAAATTAAAAATAAATGGCCTGAAGGCTTTGTGTACATGTCATACTATAAATAAATAAAATATATAATATGTAAAAATATAACAGGCATATATGTTGGAAAACCATAATTATTTTGTTATTTCAAAATAGTCAGGCCTTATCCGTTTGCTGTGTGTTTTTTTTTAAATTATTCCTAAGAAAAAAATTTTTCATGGTTTCTAAAAGAGTGATATTTTCCAAATTTAAAATTTGAGGAATTTATATTTTTATTGAATATTTATTATTTGATTCGAATCCCTAAACAAATTGCTCTATTTATGTTCTTAGAAAATCTATAAATTCCTTAGCGCCTGATCTTAAAAGTTAAGTTACATAAGTTATTTCAAATTTAAATAAAAAATAGACTAGAAACCAGAAATATTTTGGGAAAAAAATGATTGTGAAACATAGAATCACTGACATACCCAGAGAGGTACTCATCTCCCATTTTTTTTAAATATTTGAAAATTAATAAAACTTCGAAATTTTCGGTCGAATCTGAAAGAAATAACTGAAAAGGTTTTCAAGAAATCGAACGGCTAGACAATATCATCCTTCTCCACTAATAAACTATTGTTGTTTTTATAAAAACAACAATAATAGGATTAAGCCTAACTATCTTCCGAAAATCTTAAAAAGAAATATCATTTGTATCTTAATATTCCTTTGGAATTATGATTCCTTGACTGAGTTGCAACCAACATGGAAAATTTGTATTCAGAAACTAAAATTTGATAAAATATTTCAAAATTTAATAAAATATATGAACTTTTTGAATTTTTTGAATATAATTTCTGATGTATCTCAAAATTTAGCTGGAGACACTTAGAGGAAGATTTTCAGAAGAATATAATATTTTTAAGAATTATATATTTTGGTCTAGAGAAAAGTCCCCCAATTTCGAAAAATCCAATAGATTGGTAGATATAATTCAAAATTTGGTGTTCTCTATGAATCTGTAGCCTCACATATTTCTTTTTGCCCAATTTTGTAACAAATATTGTACTGATGGTAATTTCACTCGTAGATGGCGTTGCTCACACTACTCTTATTTTTCTCATGTTTGGGATGGAAAATACAACAAAAACTATATGAAAAATGCACAACAACAAAATATTCTCAAAATCTAGGAAATATTTGTTCTTTAGATCATTTTTCAAAAAATCCAATACTTTTTCAAGATTGACTCATTTGTTTTCTCTTGCAAATCTGGTGCATAGATGGCGTTGTTTGCCCTGTTAATTTTTTCTCCGGGTTTAAATGAAAGATATAAGGGAAATATTATAAAAGATGTTTTCTACGCCTTTATTATGCCTGAATATTTGATTATATTACTTCATAGAATACCTCTTCGGAATACCTATTCTCGAAAATCTTAATAGTATAAATGATATGGTTCAAAATTCGGAGGAATAATTAAAATTTAAAATTTTTATAATTTTTTCTTTTTTAATAATGGATCCATTTTTATCGAGTTGATACATTTTGGACTTATGTTGTCGAAGTCCATAGCTACAAATATGAGGAAGACTGGAAAGTGAAAATGTGTCAAATTTTCAGAGATATCACCCCAATCTTTCCGAAATTGAAAATTGAAGCCAATAAATCATTCTGGAAATAAAAGATTCTGGTTAACTAAGTAAAAAAATCAACGAAATCTGGAAGTCTTTCGTATTTTTACTAAACCATCTCTCTCTCTCTTCCTATCTCCTTTAAATAACGGATTTACAATTTTATATATAATAATTTTTACTGTAGATCAGTTCTGGGTTAGAAGCATACCCATAACTGTTCCACAGTAAAAACTATTAAAAAAAAATGAATTGCTTGGAAAAATATTTCTGATTTTCCACAAATCAACTATCAAAATACATTTATTTTTATGGAAACTATTGCATTTTTTCAATTTATCAAACATTTTATTAAAAAGACTCCATTATAAAAACTTGTGGCATAAAGTGATTTTCCAACGAAAACTTGGCCTCACTTAAACTACAAAGAAATTTCTTTAACCCAATGTATACTTCCAAATAACAAAAGGATAGAAAGGGAATCCTTGGGGTTTTAAACTCAAATGCCTGGAAACATTCTTCTTGACACCAAACTCAAAAAAAGGAAAAAACTTACAACATCTTTCTCCTAAATTTGAAATGTAGGTCTCTCTATTTTTTTTTTTTTTTTTGGCTTAAAACTTGAAAATTAGCCAAACATTGATAAATGAACATAAAATAACAACATAGACCTTAACGAGCGATTTGAAAGTGCCAAATAAAATCCCCAGAGATCCAAGGAATATTTTCAATTCAAAAAAAAAAAGCGGCATCAACAACAAAAACGATGAAAATTGAAGGGAGCAAAAAGACCGGCTGCGCCAATCATCATCAATGTAGCAGTCGAAGCTTCTTTTTTTCAGAAATTGTTTTTTTAAATGAAAATTGAAAGCAATATCGCTAAATTTATACGCAAATACCCGGGAGATAGCAAATTCATTCTTGACGGTGGGTTAAATTTTTTCTTAGACATGGGTATAATTTACAGCCAGAGTCAGACAGTTTTTTGTTGCTCTCTTTCTTTGGAACATTTTGTTCCTTGATGATTTACAAAGTGTTGAATGTGTTTGTCTGTTTTCTGTTGTTTTCTTTTATTTTGTGAATTACAAATGAGTTACAAAATTACACAGGCAAATGGATTTTTATCAAGTGGCATGGGGAGGGAGAGGGAGGGAGATATTAGAAATCAATATATATAAAAAAATATTTTTATTTAAGACAAATCTTCTTGCCAATTTAGTAGCCGGAAAAACTTTATTATTCTTGGGATTTCATTTCGTTTTCATTTTTTTTTTTTCGTGGAGGAAATGATATCAAACCAGTGGCCCAAATTCATCATCATCGATAATACCAATCTGTCCATGACTTAACATTTGTGTTACTAATTTGTTAATGATTAAGTCAGCATAAATACGTCTAGTGTATATATAACTTCGCATGATATATTGCCTTAATTAAAGGCAAACGAAATATCATTAATCTTCATTTGCTTCGAAAATGAACGAAAAAAATCTATTTTTTTATAAATACCATTTCAGGAATATAAAAGATGCAATTAAAATCGAATAAATATTTTTTCAAAAAAGGTCTATACGAAAATGTAAGGGAATCGAGAACTTTTCTATTATATTTCTAGAATCTATGGTTAAAGACTTTCCAGTATTGAAATTAAATTGCCAGACAGAAGATTGATTTTTTATTTGATTTTTTATTCTTGATGAAGAATTGCGCCGTTTTATACCCTCCACCATAGTATGGAGGCTATATTAAGTTTGTCATTTCGTTTGTAACACCTCGAAATATACATTTTAGACCCCACAAAGTATATATATTCTTGGTCAGTATAAAATTCTATTCTGTCCGTCTATTCGTCTGCGGAAATTACTCTAGCTTCCGAATGAAATTAGGATTGGTAAAATTTTACTCTAACGTATATTATATCTGCAGGACTTTTGGTATTAAAAATGGGACATGTAGGTCCACGTTTTGAGATAGACCCCATATAATGGTACCTCCCTTTTTGGTATTTTGATGATTTTCAGCGAAATTATTTACCTGAATTGTTTCAAATTTGGTATTTGAAGTTCGTAATGGATAGTACAGATTGTGACAGAAAATTGTCTGTGCAGGTCCCCGTCTTCGTATAGCCCCCATATTACGGTACGTCCCGATATTCGGTATTTTGATGATTTAAGCGATATTATTCACCGGAATTGTTTCAAATTCGGTATTTGAAGTTCGTAATGGATTGTATAGCCTAAGACAGAAAATTGTCTGTGCAGGTTCACGTCTTCGTATAGCCTCCATATTACGGTACCTCCCAATATTCGGTATTTTGAAGATTTTATCGACATTATTTACCGAATTTTTTCAAGTTTCGCATTAAGATACTCTAATGGCTTATTACAAAAGTTGCCTATGCAGGTCCACGTCGTCGTATGGATACTAATATAACGGCTACGTTCGGTATTTTTAAAATTTTAACATAAATTTTAACGGATTTTATTTTTTGAAAATTTCCAAATTCGTTCCCATTGGTGGAGGGTATTCAAAGATCGACCCGGCCGAACTTACAGCTTTTTTATTTTTTTTATTTATTTATTTATTTATTTATTTTTTTTTTTTTTTTTTTTGAAACTGGAAGAATGCAAAATCTTTGTCATTCTTTTGAAGCTTTTAGATGATTTGCTCATGAATTTATAATTAAAACCGTTATATCGATAATAATATGACTCATTGGCACAAATATTTGCTTTATATTTGGCCAATTCAAAACCAGTAATGACTTTATTATTCAAAAGTGGACTTGCATGTTTCAAGCATTAAAACTGTATTCTCAGTGAGACGAATATTTAAAAACCTCTCCCATTAGTTCTTTGACATTATTCCATTTTCATTAACAAAATAATTCGTTTTTGTTTTTTTTTTTTCTTCAATAACACAAA